GCGTGACCCTTGCATGTGTTATGTGTTGCTATGTATACCGGGCGGGGCTCAATGCCAGGCGAGGCCTGAGGACCGGAACATATGCTAGTTTTATGATCATTATATGTGTTAGCATGACTATGTGATATTGATTATATGTGTATAGCGGGCGAGGCCCAGTGACAGGCGAGGCCTGAGAATAACAGATATGTAAACCGAGCGGGGCTCGATGCCGGGCGAGACCCGAAGTCGGGCGGGGGCCCACTATGTGATTTATTGTGTATGGTATGAGGTAGTTTGGGGAACTCACTAAGCTTTGTGCACACACCATTGGGATTCCACATATGATATTTTACTCTGATTTTTATGACATTTGATACATTGGATATTTTGAGATGTATGGATGATATTTGGAAATACTATTTTATCTATTTTAAAAATGAAATTTTTGTGACCATATTTTGGGATGTTACAAATCCATTTCATAGTTGTTATCCTTCTCCGAGAAAAACTTAATTGCTAGATCATCAAGACTAATTTTCAGGATATCTAGACCTTTCACGGTTTTAACAAACTTGCTCCTCGGAATTGGAAGAACACATGAATCAATCTCCGCTGGAAAAGGAGAGTCTTTGAGCCTTAAACGACGAAGAGGTTGGCAAGTTGTCGATTAAGGGTGATGAAGTTCCAAAATCGATTAACGCGGTGAGAATTGAGAGAATATTTGGTTGATAATGTTTAATGGGGTTTCTTGTGTTGATTTAGGGGATTAGGAGAGATAGAGATAGAGATAGATAGATAGAGAGAGAGAGTGTGTGTGTGTGTGTGTGTGTGTGAGAGAGAGAGAGAGGGAAAGAGACATGTCATTTCTTTTATAATAAACAAATAAATGATTAGACAATTAAGTGAGTTGTCGTTTTGGCAAGAAGGGGCTATTCGACCTAACAAAACCAACTTTGTTCCCTTAAAAGACACAGAAGTAACATAAGGGACTGAATGAGCAAATGTGAAATATATTAGGCCGTTACCCACAGATTACCCAAGGGTTGTGGGTGAAGGTCAATTTTTGTTGTAGTATTCATTGTAAAAGTTATGTAGTATTCTTAGGAGTTAACAAGAGGATTCTATAAAGAGATGTAATCTTGTATGAATTTACAATGAGAACTTGTAAAACCAATTTGATTAGGTTTAGGGTTTAACGTTTATGGAGACGAAGATGTGAATCTATGAAGTAAACAAATAATAATAAATAAAGGCGGGGATAAGGACAGATGAGGTATCATTGGGTCCCCGATCCCGATATATATATGATACAATACAAATATAAGTTATATTATAATAATAATGGATTACATTGATTACTCGTGTATGAACTTTGCTTCAAAAAAGATGGTTGTAAACTTTAAGACAATGAAAGTTCTATGAATTTTGGATAATATCATTTTGTTTGTAGGATGTTTTTCATTAAATTTGGTCAATTAAAGTTTTTATCAATATAATTTTATGGATTTAGGTGCTATTAGTAATATGGGGTTGATTAGAGTTTATAATTATGTTATTGTAAATTTGTAATACATAAAAAAAATGTAATATTGTGATGACCAAAATCATCTATTTGCAACATTTTTGGCAAATTTTGCAAGGAATTTTCTAAATGCCCAATCCTATTTTGAAATCTAAATGCACAAGAAGTAAGCTCAGAGCAGAAGTAAATAGAAAAACATCAATAAGTATGTGGGAACTGGAAAGCAAACATAAACAAAAAGGAAGTTAGACCCTAAACTACATCGATACTAATCTGCAACTTTTATTTTAGACGTCTACGTTCTCCTATCTATGGTCATGTCCCCGAAGAGAACTCATTCTTATCTAACCTAGCATTATCTTCTCACTTCCTTCCCAGTCGACCTCTCTTCCTTGCACCCTTGACTGAGATCGTCTCCACTTTCCTAACCGTAGCATACAATTGTCTCCTATAGACAAGTCTTGGTTGTTTTATATTTCTTTTAAACAAACTCATCTTTAAAAGAAACAGAAAAAAAATATTAAACATAACCGCATAGAAAGCTCTGAATCCGAATTCAACCCCATTTATATCTCAACTTGACGACATTTATGATTCAAAATAACATAAAAATATTTTGAATTCTTGTCTCCTTCAGTTCCCCAACGGATTGTAGTCTTTTAAGGTAAATACATACACTCTAGACAATCAATTCAGCCCAACTCCTTAATGTGTCATATTCGTTCTTCCAAGCTACTAGATCTCACATGACACCATCCATCCAAGTTTTTAATCTTAGTTGAAGTGAACTTTTATTGGCATCTTGAAGACCTTTTCGGTCTCCCAGCCACTTTCAAATATTGCCTTTTAGCACTTGTAAATGTTTTTTTTAAGAAACTAAACGTTTATCAATTATCATCGGATCTTGAGACCAATCTTCTTTACTTCAAGTCGGTTCATATGAATCCATGAATGGACCATAGTGAGTAACCAATTATGTATGATAATGCATATGAATCGTGTGTGTGTGTATATATATATATATATATATATATATATATATATAGAGAGAGAGAGAGAGAGAGAGAGAGAGGAGAGTTCAATTGAGAAAAAAAAAGGTTGAGAATGAGAGAATCATTCTCAGCCACACATTTATTTTGCCGCAAAACACTTGGACGTACCGTCGGAAATGGATAACGGATAAATATGTGTTTTCCAACCAAACATGTTTCCTTAAACTATGTTAATCATTACCTTAATATACACAAAAACATACTCTTTTTTTGTTTTTTTTTTATTTTTAGAAAACCATTTTTATCGAAAAATTATTTTAAATATATCAAAATTCATAATTTTTTATTCTCTATAAATAGACATCCATATTGATATAGTTTTAAGATAAAATAAAAAAAAAAATTTAGAGTTTTAGCTATCGTTATTCATAAGTGAATAAAAATTTGATCAGATTTTTATTACAGTACATTCGTTATTCACTTATGAATAAAATGTATGCTTTTTTTATATATATAGTTTAAGTATCGTTCATATATGAATATGACACGTAATAAAGTTTTCTTATTTAAAATATATTTTTTACATCATCTTTCGTCATATATTATATTTATATATGAATAAAACGTGTAGTAATTGTCGTCATATTTTATATCATATATGAATAAAACATTTATCTATTTTTGTTACAGTTAATTTGTTATTCATATATGAATAAGTAGTATAAATGATACTTAAAATGTAAAAAAAATGAATTATATATTTTTATTCATAAGTGAATAACGAATGTACTGTAGCAAAAATCTGATGCATTTTTATTCACTTATGAATAACGATAGCTGAAAATATAAAAAAAATAAATTTTTTATTTTATCTAAAAAGTATATCAATATGGATGTCTATTTGTAGAGAATAAAAAATCATGAATTTTGGTAATTCGGAATTATTTTTAGATAAAAATAGCATCTTAAAAATTAAAAAATCGAAAAAAAAAAACTACGTTTGTATATATATTAAGGTAATGATTAGTATAGTGTATTCCTTATCCATTTATGCTGGTACAACGGAGATTTTTGCGGCAAAAATAATTGAGTGGTTGAGAATGATTCCCCCCATTCTCAACCTTTTTTATTTTCTTAATTGAACTTACCTCTATAGATATATAGATATATATAGATATATATATTATATATATATATATATATATATATATATATATATATATATTCTTGGTCTTAAAATCTGTTTTTATTTATATCGTTTTAATTATGGTTTTCACACGCCATAATACTAAAATATGAAGTTCTATGGACATTTAGATTTATTATATTTAATAATCTTTTATGCCATTTTTGGTTGAACCTTATACTCTAGATATTTTCTGATTTCAAAACTAATTATATGGTTGTAATCGTCATAAATTACCGATTTCAATGATAAGTTTTTAACAATTTAGAACCCGTGAACAATAATTTTAAATATATATATATATATATATATATATATATATATATATATATATATATATATATATATATATATATATGCTTAGGTTATTTTGTTTAAAGTATCTATTGTGTTATTGTATGCATAATTGTGAGCCAATCAATTATCTTTATATATATTAAAACAGAAACCTGATGATGTCACCTTCAACAATCAGAATCATTCATTGGATTTCTTTGGTTGATTTCAACCCTTAGATCGTTCTTAATATTTCTGGGGATGCCATCCTAACAAAACAAATCTCTATTTATTTCCGTCTATCATAATTACTTCCCATATTCAAATCGAAAAATCAGCCACCAAAGACGGGAACTTAACTAACCATCATCATTATCCTAATTTTAAATTTTAAAAAATAATCCAAAAATGTCTACATTATCTATCCTAACTACATTTTGAAATTCAACATTTAAGGGATAAGATAAAAATGACTTTTATCTTATCCCTCCAAAACCAACTTAGATTCAATACATATATGACATATTCCACCAAAACCCATTTTTATTTTTCCTTCCACGCTCCTGCAAAAGGTGGGCTTTTATTGTGTTTTATCTATGTTTTTACCTCTTCGTTTATATTGATATTCACGATACTAAATCAATACTTCTTCCTTTCGCCTTCTATATGATAAGTGTTCATACTCATTTTTTTTGCTTTGTTGTTTTCTGTGAAATATATCAACATACTATGTATGTTTTGATTTGATACCATCCTACTTCCATTAATCCATAATTGCAGCCAACTATTATTTTGCAAAATACAATTAATGTTTATTTTTTTTCATGGTTAAGTATGCCAACCAAGAATGTCTATTTTAATTGAACAACATCATATTTACATTAAACAAAAACCTTGTGAATCTTTGAATTACTTTTTTCACTATATCTCATAATTATCTCTAATACTTTTCTATTTCTCATAGCACAAGCGAAATGACACATAACAGTGACAGTGAAATCGTCATTGATAAGCTTGCTGACATAGATGCCTCCAAAGAATCATGGAATATTCGTGTTCAAGTTGTCATGATTTGGAAACAGACATAGAAAAACAACCCAAACATGGTCAGCAGCTTGGACATGATTTTAATGGACCAGGAGGTAAGATTAAAATAATATGAAAAAAAAAACTTATGTTTTATTTTTGTTTCATATAATAATATTCTATATCACCTACAGGGCACTAGAATACATGCAACAATCAAAAAAAATCTCATAAATGCATTTCAAGCCCTCCTGGAAGAAGGAGCTGTAAGGCAAATCACTAACTTTGGTATGACCAGAAACGGAGGAGATTAAATGTTGGTTGCTCACAAGCATAAGATAAATTTCTACAAAACAACCAGAATTCGTGTATCAACTCCTTTTGTTGATAGGATCGATCCTTTTAATTTTGTGAGTTTTTATGATCTGACAGCTAGAAATTTTGACACTCGTGTTGCATTTGGTGAGTTTTTTTTCCCTTAACAGTTTTGCATTTATTATATTATATATTTTTTAACCAATTTATATTATAATAATTGATTCAAATTTACTTTTTGTAGATTTTATTGGTCAAGTTGTATCTACTGAACCCATGAGAGTGATTAAGGAGAATGCAAGGGAAACAAGGCTAATGAGTATTGTTGCACAAGATCTAAGGTACTTTTCTTTATTTTTCATTAATTTATCATGTTTAATATTTTATTCATATAACCCAAACAATCAATTATAGTGGTAGGAAAATGTAAGTTGCTTTGTGGGATGGTTTTGCATTGAAGTTGAACAGCTACATATCTGAACATCAAAATGAAAATGCTCCTGTGATCATCCTCCTACGTATGGCAAAGCTCAAGACTTGGGGTGGTAAGAATAATTATTTTTAGATGTCTATGCTCATTACATTAATATTTTATTTATAATATGAAATAATCTATTACTTCAATTGCTATTTATAGGTCAGCCACAAGTCGGTAACTGTTTATTTGGGTCGAGATTGCATATTAATGATGATATGCATCATATTTCAGAATTTAAAAAGGCGTATGTATTTGATGACTATGATATAATTATTTATTGTTTTATTTTTACTTATTCTTAATCAATAATTATTATTATTGTTGATCTTCTTCATTTATCCTTCTTATATGTAGCATTGTTGATATCGATTTGAATGTTGAGTCTTCCATTAATACTACACAACTTAACACAGAAACTATTGTGGCCAAGCCAGAAGATTACTACTTCCGTTTTCAAATCAAAAACATTGATGATATTCCGGATTACAATGAGGTATACTTAATATTATTCATATTTTTCCATTATATATAACAATTTTTTTAATGTGTGTGTGTGTGTGTTATATATATATATATATATATATATATATATATGTATGTATATATATACATGTATGTATGTATTTTTACCAATCAGGAAATTAGTTTGTCTACCATTGTTACTATAATCGATTTCGATTTGGAGGAAGGATGGTATTCTTTTTATTGTCGTGACTGTTCAAAAAAGGTAACTAAAAATGGTGATGAATTCGGCAAGTGAGTTCATAATTTTACATTTGTAAACTTCTTGTCTCATGAATCTTTATTACAATGTTTCAATTTTTATTTCATTGTCCATTAACGTGTCATACAATAATATTTAGGGTAAGGGTCGTAATACGTGTTCAAGATGAAACAGGGTCTGCTTCTTTTTTATTGTTTGACCGTCATGGTAAAGATCTTATTCACCGCGGTAATCATTGGTTGATGGAAAAGATATCAAATGTAGCGTTATATTATACTATTCTATCAATTTGTACACACGACAAGTTAACTGTATATTGTTATTGCATTTTATTTTAATCGGGATTTATTAACTACTCACATGTTTTATTATAATATTCTTTAGGATCAAGGAGGCCAAAAGATCCCCGATGAGTTCAATACGATGCTTAATAGGAAGTTTGTTTTTAAAGTTCAGATTTCAAAGTTTAATCTCGAGAACAATTATCATGCCTACACCGTTCATAAGATGACTAATGATAAACTTGTAGTTGGTGCAGTTTTCAAACATTCACCTGCATACGAAGAAAACAGTATTCATTCTGATGGTACTTCTATCAACAAGTCTATTAAGGTAAAATTAAATTCATATAATTTAGCATTTTAACATTGTTAATAAACATTTATTCTTGATGCAGTGACAATATTAATGTTGTTAATTAACATTGTTTTATTGATTTGATACAGGAAAAGAGTGTTTCTATTAAAGGTGACAATATTAACGTTGTTGATCTTGATGCGGTGACACCGACAACTACTTCACTGAAACGCCCTATTGATATTGTTACCACCACTGAATCGTTTGAATGGTCTTCCTCAAAAGATGGTGTTGCTACTCATACCCTTAAGATTCCAAAAATGGAAAAACTCGAATAAATTTAGCAGCTATGATTATTTGACATTTATCATTGACGATTTTTCTTTGAGTTTTTATTATTTGCTTAAGGATTTCTTTGACAAGTACATTGTTTTCATTTTGAAGATTATGTTTGTTTTCATTTAATTATAACACGATAGTAGTCGTGTTATTTGAGACAATTTTATAATTATGTTGAATTCTTTTTATGAATTTTAACTTTTACATCTTTTGATATATTTTCGCCTCAACTTATGTTACAAACTATGTTGACCAAGTCTATTATTGTCAATTTGTTTTAAGTTTAAATAACAAACTATGTTGACCAAGTCTATTATTGTCAGTTTGTTTTAAGTTTAAAGGTAATATCCTTAATCTTTGGCTTAAGTCAATGAGTTTGTTATTCCACAAACAAGATTTTATAACAATAATTTTTTTATTGTTCGTAACAAACTATGTTGACATGCAATTCTATAAAAAAACAAAAATAGCATACCTGCAATGACAAACAAATAATTGAATAAAGTACATGGCTTTTCCAAATGAAATGTGTCTTTAATAAGAAAATGAAAATACATTGTCTTAATTTGTACACTTTTCAAAGTAAAATGCTTACATAATAAACAATATGTAGTAGGGGCTGTTTGGTATTAAATGTAAAGTCATGGATCTAATTTGGTAAATAATATATTCTTGGGCACAATATGTAGTAGGGGCTGTTTGGTATTAAATGTAAAGTCATGGAGCCGATTTGGTAAATAATATATTCTTGGGCTGTTATAAAAATTATCATTTTTCCAAACTAACCATCAACATTAACCTAATTTTAATTTTTAGAAAATAATCCTAAAATGTTCAACATTATCTATCCTAACTACATTTTGAAATTCAACATTTAAGGGATAAGATAAAAATGACTTTTATCTTATCCCTCCAAAACCAACTTGGATCCAATACATATATATGACATATTCCGCCAAAACCCATTTTTATTTTTCCTTCCACGCTCCTGCAAAAAGTGGGTTTTTATTGTGTTTTATCTATGTTTTTACCTCTTCGTTTATATTGATATTCACGATACTAAATCAAAATTCTTCCTTTCTACATCCCTCTATAGCAGTAAACAGTTGTTAGCTTGGTTAATCAAAGGCAAAAAGGTACGCATTTCATTGTTTATACTTATTTTTCCGTGATTTATAGTTTTTAATTAGGTTTATTTTATTTACATTCAAAAGTGTAATTGTGTTCATTTAAATAGATTTGTGTCAACAAAACGCATATAAAAAACTAACAAAAAACAAATATATAAAAGTTCATTATAAACCAAAAATACAAAAATAATGCAAGTCCACATACTTAAACAAAGTCCATAATTCATACTTGAAAAAAAAATTGTAAACTATCTATATTTGTTAACCAACTTTAATTCGTTATTTTCTTCACCAATATCCTTTAATTTCATTCTTTGTATAATCATTTTTTATGGTATGTTATGATATCCATTTATGCATTTAATCTTCTCTCCAACTTTATGTACTTCATCTTACATTTTACAGTATACAACATATATGAATACCAACATTTATTATGGCGTGAATGTACAGTTTTACGTTTGACTGTAAACATTCAGTTCGGTTGTCCAAACAATGATTTCGAAGAGACAAAATCATTTACTGATTGGATTCTTAAAATTGGTGAAGGTACTATCGGTGGTCCTAATGATGGTGAAGTTGAAGTTGAATTTCCAGAAGATGTGATCGTTCCCTCTACGGGTGACCATATTCATTCAATTGCATCCTGCATTTATTCATCTTTTCAGAACCATCTTGATGATCCATCGTATTTTCAAGATAAAGCTATTTTGGTCCCTACTTACATGTTAGAATTGATGAAAGATGTAACATCCGGTTTACCAGGTATATTGTTTTGAGTATTTAATTCAAGGATTTTGGAGGGAATCAACGAGTTGGTGCCTCAACTCGTCGAGTAGGGTCACGACTTGGTGACGTGGTTAATGAATGGACTCGACGAGTCGAAGAGATGGCTCGCCGAGTCAGCGCTGTAGGCAGAAACCTTAATTCTCTCGGGCCTGGGCCTATTTAAAGGCACTTATAGCCTCCTTGACACCCCCATCAGTGTCATTCGTCACTTGATAGAAACCCTATAGTCATTGGTGAGCAAGAGAGGGAAAGGGGCTCATTGGAGGTCATTCCTTGGGGAGAAGACCAAGGGTGTTGCAAGGATCAAGAAGAGAGCTTGTGGATCTATTTCATCCCCATCTTCAGCTTCAGATCAAGGTATGAAGCCCATACCTTTCCTGTCTTATTGAATTGATCTTTTGAGTATGAGAAATTAGGGCTCATATCACTTTTGGTGGGGTTTTGGGTGCATCAAACCCCCCTCTTCTGAGTATGCCATAGATCTGGATCTTGTATGATCCAGAGAGTCAAAAAGTAGGAAGCCATTGTTGTGAAAACATGAGGTTTTGAAGTTAGGAAGCTTTAATGGAGTCTAAATGGCATATAGAGCAAAATATGCTATGCATGGATATCAAGATCGGACCTTTATGTGACTTTTGGGTATTAGGAGGTCAGATCTATGAGTTAGAGTTACAGATATGACCTCAGGTGGTTGAATGAGAAATTCGATGGAGCCAACTCGCCGAGTCCATGGGATGACTCGACGAGTCGTAGCGGATGTGACCTAGTAGCCTGGACCCAGTGTTAACTCAGCGAGGTGGGAGTCAATTCAGTGAGTTGAGTGAACCCTAGGATGAACGTGGAGAATACGAGTGGACTCGACGAGTCACAGGTGTGTACTCGGCGAGTCAGGTCGACCTTGACTGTTGACTTAATCTGGTTTTCTGTTGACTTCCTGGGTGGGTCAATAAGAGGCAGGAAGGACCAAGGAGGGGTAAAATAGACTTTTACCCATCCCAAGGGTAAGAAAAGGGAAAAGAGGACTTAAGGAGTAAATGAGTAATAAAGCGGATAATGATTGAAATGCTTGTCTTATGTGTTAGGCGGAGAATAGTCCAAGATTTCCGAGTGCTTGTCGGTTACTGCTAGTCGAGGTGAGTCTTCTCACTATACGTTACCTAGAGTGGTATTTGTGTGTGACCAGATGGTCTTATGTTCTTGCCTGAGATATGCATTTTATGTGTGATATGTGTTGTATGATGTGATATTTAGACCGGACCAGAGGGTCCAACGAACTATGCTATATTATGACCGGACCGGAGGGTCCAACGAACTAGAGACCGGAGGGTCCTCACTTAGACCGGACTGGAGGGTCCAACGAGTAATGAGACCGGAGGGTTCTCATCCAGACCGGACCAGAGGGTCCAACGAGCCGTGGGACCGGAGGGTCCCACTGAGACACATCGGGCCGGAGGGTCCATCAGAGTTATAGCCTCGAGTGGCTAATATGTGTATGTGGTATTTTGGGGAGCTCACTAAGCTTTGTGCTTACCGTATTATGTGTTTCAGGTTTCTCAGGATCGCGGGACGGCACCGGCTTGATTGTACACACCAGAGAATGAGTTATGTTTTGAGGATCCTGGATTATTAATGGAGTTGTGTTTTGTAATTTGAATAAATGAGATTTTTATACAATATGCTATGAAAAGTATGCGATTTTAAAATGAAAATTTTGTTTGAAAGTTTACGGTGTTACAAAAGATGAAGGGAAAAAATATTTGAGTTCAGATTCCTTATGTGAGACCGAGACATAAGATTCTTTTGAGGAATCAGTATACTCTCCGGATGTGTTGAACGCTTTTAAGGCCTCCAAAATTCCCAACCATAAACTTATACTAAAAAAAGGTGTTCCGGTCATGTTGCTTCGTAATATCGACCAAACCAGAGGACTAAGCAATCGTACTAGATTACAAATCGTAAGGCTTGGAAGACACATCATTGAAGCATGAATCATATCTGGTAGATTTTTTAACGAGACTACTTATATACCTCGCATGAAGTTGACCCCATCCGATAAAAAAATTCCATTCCGTTTTCAACGTAGGCAATTCCCAATAGCAGTTTGTTTCGCTATGACCATTAACAAAAGTCAAGGACAGTCATTATCAAATGTTGGATTATACTTGCGTAGACCTGTCTTCACCCATGATCATTTATATGTAGTTATTCCTCGTGTAACAAGCAAAAAATGTTTAAAGGTACTCATATCTGACGAGGAAGGTCGTTTAACTAATAAAACAAAAAACGTTGTCTACCAAGAGGTCCTGCAACGTTTATAGTTATTTATCGATTTCAGTGTTTCTTCTTCACCTTTCAATAATACCAATAGCTATAAACTTTATTTTATAATTAGTATGCAATATATATAAATGTTTTGATAATTTTTTTAATACGTTCCCCCGCGTTTAACGCGGGTTATAATCTAGTTTAATTTCTAAAAGAAAATGATTAAGATTAAATTGATATACAATAAATGAAAATGGCTCCTCATTTAAAGATAACGGATGAATAAGGGTATAAGTGTACATTGTCCTCTCCATTAAAATAGGAAACTGAATATATTGATGAAAACTACCCGCATAATCCCTATAACATCGCATGCACCCGGATTCCACTACCCTCTGTATCGGAACACAAAATCAAACTATATCTTCTCTACTCAACCCAAAAAGCGGTAGATTTTGTTGTATATGTTATATAAAGTGACTGATTCTTGAAGATTATTCACAGAAATTGCGTTGTGATCGTTCGAAGTAAAAGAAATTGCAGTGCAATGAGGAGTACAAGGACGACTTCTTTCAAATCGAAATTTAAGAACACACAAGAAACAGTGTTGAATCTAGATGAAGACGATGATGATTTCATCGCTCCGCCTATAGGTAATCTTTTTTTATAAATTTTTTTTAAGGTAATCGTTTGAATACACAACATTCTTTTGGAATGTTCTACCAATGAATTATTTGCATGTGGTTTTTTAGCTGGTTTAAGTAAAATAGAACGAAATAGTTTAAAAAGGGAGTATTTTTTATTAGGGTTTTATG